TGGGGCTCCATCCCAGGGCCCAGGGATCATGACCTGAGCTGAAGGCAGACACTTAACTGACTGAGCCACCCACGCATCCCTAATCTCCCTTTTTTAATTCAGTGATCCATTCTTAATTAAAGTTATAAATTTTCTTTTATCTAAAATATTACTAATAGTATTTCAAAATAGCTGTTTAGACATAATTTTAAAAATGAAATTTGATATTATTGCAAAGCAGTATATTAAGAGTACTCTTATATATTTCTACAAATGTATATATTAAAAACTTTAAGACTTCAAAATAATTTACTGGATCATAATGAGGCTACAGAGATTATAGCAAGTCTGACTGTTAAAGATAGCTGGTAAGAGCACAGTAGTACTGAACACCAAGAGCTTTTATATTTCCTCATATTTGCCTTAGTGGTGTTCATTCCTTACTGCAGGTTTAGGATCCCATCTGGTATTAATTATTCTATGCCTAAAGAACTTCACTTAGTATTTCTTGTGTAGATCAGCTGGGAATGAATTAAGTTTTCTGTCTCAGAATGACTTTAAAATGAACAATTTAAAAAAAAACTTGATATATTTCTTACCAATTTTCTTACAGTTTTATATGTATACATACTGAGTCTATAGTCATTACATACCATCTTTTAATCCTCATTTATCTTAGTTTTACAGGGTCTGCATATGTTTGGTATGTTTAATGCTTATCCTCAGTCCTCATGTCATTGTCTGCAGTCATTTTTGTTGTCTGAAGCTCATTTTCTAGTAGATGCCACAGGAAGCACTCATGGGAACAGTATTCTTGCACATTGGTAACAGTGCTCTTTAAGGTTGAAAATCCAGTTTTGCTGCATATAAAATAACTTGGCTAGGCTTTTCTCTTCTCGATTATTTTAACTGTTACTCCATTTTCTTCTGATATAAAAAGCATTGGGGTTGAAGTTTGATGATAATGTAATTTTTTTTTTTACTTTATGATTTTGCCTTGATCTCCAAAGGATTTCTTTTCTTCAAATTCTATGAAGTTTAAGATATATCCTCTTTATTTTCTGGGTTGATAGTTTTAGTTAGACATATCTTTTAATATAATTTAAAATCTTTTAAAGATTTATTTGAGAGAAAGAGAGAGATACAGAGAGAGAGTGAGCAGGAGGAAGAGGGAGACAGAATCTGAAGTGGACTTCATGCTGAGCATAGAGCTTGCTTGATGCAGGGCTTAATCTCACAACCGTGAGATCCTGACCTGAGCCAAAACCAAGAGTCGGACACTCAACCGATTGAGCCACCCAGGTGCCCCTAAAATCTTTTCTTTGAGGAAAATTTTCTAATATTCATTCTTTTGCCATGCTTTTGATTTGGTTTCCTTCTTCAGGGACTACTATTTTCTGTTAGATCTTTGTGTATCTTCACTATTTGTAACATTTTGATGTCTTTTAAAATTCCTCCCCCCCCCCCCATTTTATCTTCTGTTTCTTTTAAAAGGTATAATCTATTGTTTACTCAATTTTATGTCCATTCTTGTTCAGTCTTTATTTCTGATATGATTTTTTTGTTATTTCTAATTATTTTGTTCTGTCGTTATGATCTGAATTTTTCTAACTTGTATGTCTCATACCATTTTCTTAATAAGTCTTGTGTTTTGAAATAGGTTATAATTTTGATCTATTCTATATGCATATTTTTCTAACATGCATTCTTTATCTGTAGAGATATTATTTTACTCCTTGTATATTTTATTATAATAATTTTGTGTGGATTTAACATCTATACTTGTTGCTCAGTTTTGTATGAGATTAGTTTTTCTGAATATTTAGAAGGTTGTGTGGTTTAGGGTATCTTTTCTAACTCTTTTTGTTGTTTTTGTGTAATGTTAAAAAAATACAGTGATTGCTTTTTGAGTTTTCCTGTCTCTTTATTACTACTCGATATTTATCTGAAACTTCACTTTACTTTCCTTCTTTTTTTTTCCTTTTGTGTTTTTAAGTAGGCTCCACGTCCAGTGTGGAGTCCAGTGCGGGGCTTGAATTCACCACCTTGAGGTCAAGACCGAACCAAGATCAAGAGTCAGATGCTTAACCAACTGAACTACCCAGGCGCCCTCTTTTCTTCTTTTCTTTTGTGCCTTAGTTACTCAGTTTTGATTCCATTCCCAGCAGTTTCCCCTTAGTGTGTAGGCTTATTCTAGAAGAGAGCCATAGTTGGTCATTTCCAAGAGTTCATAGGAGCTGTTATTTCATTCTCACCATGGACCCCTTTGCTGTTAGATTGGACAGCAACTCTCCTCTCATAAAATTGATCTGCCATGCTTTCTATTGAATACCTACCTACCTTTTAGCTATTTCGGGCTTCTCTTGTTCTCAGGTGTATCATACACCTTGTTGATCCCCTTGCTTTCTTCTGCACTACTGCATGTGAGCACTCAGGTGCTGTGGCTGTTGATTTGTCCTCATCTGCTTGGAATTTAGGGGAAACAGAACCTTGTCTCCTGCTTTTGTTGTGAATTCGCTGTTGGGTTTTTTTTTGCCGCATTAGGTCTCTGTGTTTCCCTTGGGATTCAGAGACATAAGAACACTACCTTCCCAAGATTTTCCCCTAAAAGTTTATTTTAGGGACAACTTTGAAAAATATAAATTCCAGAGAAGAAATTGCAGGGTTAATAAATTTATTAAAGCATCCTATACAGTAATGTAGGAATCTTGTTTTTCCTAAGTTCTTTTAAAAATCATGCCATATTCATAAAGTCTCCAAATTATATAGTTGAATGTTCAAGAAAGACTAGGATTGGGTGATGAATTGTCTTTCAGAATTAGAGCATCATTAGACATCTGAATGCATTATTCTGAAGAATAGGATTTTATTGTCAATGACTGCAGAGCTTTAACCTTGATATTAATAGCTTCCTCTTCCTACTTAGAGATGTAAGCTAAAATATTTTACTTTATGTGTGTATTTACATACTTTATGTATTTTTTAAAAGATTTACTTATTTTAGAGCGAGAGTGCGAGCAGGGAGAGGGGCAGAGGAAAAGAGTGATTCCTTGAGCAGACTCCCCTCTGAGCGCAGAGCCTGACACCACGGGGCTCCATCCTAGGACTATGAGATCATGACCTGAGTTGAAATCAGGAGTTGGAGGCTTAAGTGACTGAGCCACCCAGGCGCCCCAAATATTATACGTGTTTTTAAATGACCGCAGTACAGTCTGTTCTGCTACAGTAAATATGTAATTCCACAACATCAATTAGCTTATAGACTCTTGATAAATAGGGGAATAGCGTCAGTATAACATGGGTAGTGCATTGCCTTATACATGACTTTTTCCTAAACTAGACAAGGGGATCCTGAATAAAGGGAGTTGAATTTTTTTTTAAGATTTATTTATTTATTTGAGAGAGAGCGAGCAGAGGAGCACAAGCATGGAGGGAAGGGGAGGGGCAGAGGGAGAGAGAGGTTTTTTGTTTTTTTTTTTAAGATTTTATTTATTTATTTGACGGAGAGAGACACATAAGCAGGGGGAGTGGGAGAGGGAGAAGCAGGCTTCCCGCTGAGCAGGGAGCCCGATGCGGGGCTCGATCCCAGGACCCTGGGATCATGACCTGAGCCGAAGGCAGACGCTTAATGACTGAGCCACCCAGGCGCTCCGAGAGAGTCTTTTAAGCAGACTCCATGCTGAACAGGCTCAGCTTGGTCTCAACGACCCTGAGATCACAATCTGAGCTAAAACCAAGAGTTGGACATTTAACCCACTGTGCCATCTAGGTGCCCCAGGGAGTTGAATTTTGTATTTCATCAGGAAAGTAAAACACTTAAAATTCAGCTGCTACAGAAACAAAAGCACCCCCTCCCAAACACACACACACAGAGGTTTTAATTAGAAGTGGTAATTAGCAGCGGCAGGGAAGGGGGGTTCTCTCCTAGAGAAGTACACTCTAGCAGGGACTTTTCTCATGTGGCAGTCTGCATTTCCTTTTGTGTCCATCTTAGCCCTACTGTCTTAAAGCTCCACTTCTCAGTTCCCATAAGCCCTTGTTTCTCTTTCTCTGTTTTTATTACCTTTTATTAAGCCCTGAGGTAGCATTTCAGCTGCTGTTAGCTGCCTCACTGGGGTGTCCAAGTTATCTCTGGAGGTGTCCCAATCATTGTTTTTGTTAGTGCTATGGTTACAGAGTTAACGGGGCATTGACTGATCTGTCTTGTATACCTCTCTGTACCCTCCTGGACCGATTATTTTTTCCTTAAGCCTTGTTGTTTTTAGTGTTGCAGAATGCAGGATTTTCAGGAATGTAAGTATTTGTGTTAGAGCAGATGTACTAAGAGACTTCTTCAAGAAGTTGCTGGAGCTTAGTGTTGTTGGCTTTGTGGCATTATTTCTGTTCTTGAAGGACTTTATAAGAGAGTTCTGTTTTCTGGCAATGGAGATCAATGTTTGGAATATGAGGCTTACTAGTCATTTTAAAATGCAGGGGAATGATAAATAGTAAATGTTTGAAGAATTTTGTTGTGGATCACTGAAGCGTTCTTTTGTGCTGTAATGACATTGTTCTAACAGAGATATCTAAAATTAGAGAAACTACTGAGTAAAAGTAAAATTCTATATGGTATGATATGGAATGATGTATTTTGATATTATCTTTGTTTTGTTTTTGCTCCAAGTAGGGAATTATTGTTTAGGAAAGTTTAGCTTTTTAATAATCTTTAATATCTTTTTTTTCCTTCCAAGATTTTATTTAAATCCAAGTTAGTTAACATGTAGTGTAGTATTGGTTTCAGGAGTAGAATTGATCCAAATAGGGAATTGTAATTGTGGCCATTTAGAATACCAAGGTTTGTTTTAGAAATAATAAAATGATATTCAACCTTTAGAAAATGTACAGCAGCATCTTATTTGCTCTGGTATAAAAGCATTGGATACAAATATTCAGTACAAGTAAAGGAGTTATTCCTGTTGAATAAGAATAGTGATTATACATACAAATTATATTTAATATAGATTTAAAAATCTAATCCTTACCAAAAGATACTAAGTAGTCTCATTAAAACAGCAAGGAATTGGGGCACTGGGCTTCCTCAGTTGGTAGAGCATGCGATTCTTCATCTCGGGGTTGTGAGTTAGGGTCCCACATTGGGTATAAAGATTACTAAAAAACAAACAAGAAAACCAAGGAATTATATGCCAGTATTACAGTAATGTAAGAAAACCATTCATGTAGTAGATGACTCTAGAAGAATTTTACAAATGAGAAAAATAGATGTACAAATGAAAAATCAGTATACTCCGAGAGTATACTTGGTGTATAGTCTTTTAGTCAATACTGCAAAAACAGTGTAAACTGCTGATGTGGATTTGCCCCATATAAAAGGAAATGAATAGAGAGCTTTATTAGGGAGTAGACTCCTTGGTGTTAATTTGGGCATTTAAAGAATTGAGGTTGGCATTGGGGTGTGGCATTAGCAGGCCCTGTTATTTTTGGTAATATGTGATATGCCAGCAAATTCCAGTGGGGTTCTGTCTCTTACTTGGAGTGCTCAAGGAAACAACCACTGTTCTTTCAGACAAGTCTTTAAGAATATGGGAGGGTGCCTGGGTGGCTCAGTTGGTTAAGCGACTGCCTTCGGCTCAGGTCATGATCCTGGAGTCCCTGGATCGAGTCCTGCATCGGGCTCCCTGCTCGGCAGGGAGCCTGCTTCTGCCTCTGACCCTCCCCCCTCTCATGTGCTCTCTCTCTCTCATTCTCTCTGTCTCAAATAAATAAATAAATAAAAATCTTAAAAAAAAAAAAAAAGAATATGGGAAAATTGGTGAAAACTCAGAGGATATTGTACAATTGAGTATTTCAGTAGCACAGTTTATTTTTTTAAATTCTTTTTAAAAAACATTTATTTATTTGAGGGAGAGAGAGAGCACAAGACGGGGGAGGGCCAGAGGGAGAAGCAGACTCCCCACTGAGCAGGGAGCCCGATGTGGGACATGATCCTGGGACTCTAGGATCATGACCTGAGCCAAAGGCAGATGCTTAACCGACTGAGCCACCCAGGCGCCCAGCACAGACAGTTTAATGGACCCTGGGGAAAGGATCTGAATTGTGAGGATGCTGTAGTTATATTTGTGTATTATAAGTGCATTAATAATAAACCTCTTACAACATTGTCAAATTTTTCCTTTGTTTTTAAGCACTGTTGGATATTATGTAATTCTATTTTGTTTCTCCTGGATGTGAAAAATGGAAAATATATTACACATATTGTATCTGTTTTTACAAATTGAGGTATAATTGATATACAGCATTGTATTAGTTTTAGTGTAAAATATGATTTGATATTTATATATACGTGTTGTAAAATGATCATCATAATAAGCCTAGCTAACATCCATTACCATAGTTAGAACTTTTTTTTGTGATGAGAAGTTTTAAAATCTACTCTCTTACCAACTTTCAGATATGCAGTACTGTATTAACTGTAGTTGCCATGTTGTGCATTACATTTCCATGACTTACTTATTTTAGAACTAAAATTTGTACCTTTTGACTCCCTTCACCCATTTTGCCAAGCCCCCATCCCCCACCTCTGGCAACCACCAGTCTGTTCTCTGTGTCTTTGAGCAGAGTCTTTTTTTCATTTGTTATTTAGATTCCACATAAAAGTGAGGTCATACAGTATTTTAACTATCTTCACTTAGCACATCCATGTTGTCCGTCCATGTTGTCACAAGTGGCAAGATTTCATTCTTTTTAATGGCTGAATAATACTCCAGTGTGTGTTTGTGTGTGTGTGTGTGTATCCCCCATACAGTCTATCCATTCATCAACAGATGAACACTTAAGTTGTGTCTGTTGGCTATTGTAAATAATGCTGCAGTGAACATGGGGGTACATATCATATTTTGTAAGTGTAATCTGTAAGACAGAATGCCTATGCTCAATGCATGTTTTTTTCCTCATATCTTAAGGAAGAGAGAGAAAATCCTTCGAAACGGAGTAGGATTGAACGTGATATAGATAATAATTTGATCACATCAACACCAAGAGCAGGAGAAAAGCCTAACAAACAGTTATCTCGAGTAAGACGGAAAAGTCAAGTAAATGGAGGTTTGTTAATATTTAGATATTGTTCTATTAGGTGTAAGCAGAGATCTCACCTGTCATGTTTATTTTCTGTTTTTAAAAACTGACTCTGCAGTTTTTCCCTTATTTTTGTAATATTCTTTGTATTAAGTATTAGTAGCATGAAATAAAAATTTATCTAATACTGATCTACTTTGCTGAGTTAAAATAAGTAAAGGCAGAGCAACTAGCTTTATACTGTTTATCATAAAAATGTATATGGAACATTTTTGACCTCTAATAAACTCTGTTCTTAAAGCAGTAATAACTGTGGCTTAATTTATTGAAATATGTACAAAGAATTTGTTTCTGGATCATGGAATTTCAGAGCTCAGAGAGGGCTTGTATCACTTGGGACAGTGGTTCTTAACTAGGGGTGGTTTTGTCCCCAGGGGACATTTGTTAATATCTGGAGACCCTTTTGGTTGTCACAACCTGTTGGGGGGTTACTACTCATATCTAACAGGTAGAGGTTAGGGATGCTGCTAAACATCCTACAATGTACAGGACATCCTCCTTCAATAAAGAATTATCCAGCCCAAAAATCAATAGTGCTGCTGTTGATAAACCTTGTTCTAGGTCAATATGTTAAAATATTGCTGGGAAGCTCCTCAAAGTCAAAAAGAAAATCAAGAAGGACAAGCAGAGAAAGCTATAAAAACCAACAGTGTAGAGCATGGATTACTGCATTTAACCATTGCTGTTTTAAACACAACAGCAAGAATAATTTCTTACCTCTTTCCCCCCAACTCAGTGTTGTATCTCTATTGTTAGAATTGACTACTAGGGAAAAAGAAACAAAAGACCTATCGCAAAGAAGGAAAGAATGTGGTAGATATCAAGTAAAGTTGTGGAAGGTCAAGGATGATTAATCAGAACACATTTGTTTGAATTTGTTTTTACTGTATCATTTCTAAAAACCCATGAAAATTTTTTTATTCATAAGAAACTAAAAAAACAAAAGACAAAAAAACCTGTTTGTTCTTCTTAATCACTCTGAAATGATGCCTGAATATACATAAGTAATTGACACTGCTATACACAGTCTTCTGCTTCAGTAGATCTATGTTGCCTCTATTTATTTAGCTGTTATTCATTACTAATAGATTGGTTTTGTGAAGTAGGCAGTCTCCCAAAATGTAAATAAGGGCAGGATCTTGCATTTATGTTTTTGATGTTGTAATTTGCTTTACTTACAAAGAGTTTATTTCATTTTCTGTTACACTGGATTTTGAAGCCTTTCAGTCTATATACTTCTAGATGTAAACATAAAATCATTTGATTTACAATTTATTTACCTCAGGATATTTTTAAGTAATCAGTTTTTTTAACAGTAAATGTTAATCAGTTTTTATGAAGTATCTTGAAGCAAAAAATTATTTTCATAATGAATTGTTTAAAACATTTCTTAAAGTCATGTTTTCTAGATTGCAACTTTTTTCTTGTTTCTTTCTTAGAAGCTGGTAGTTATGAAATGACAAATCAACATGTAAAACAAAATGGAAAATTAGAAGATAATCCTTCCTCTGGCAGTCCTCCAAGGACTACATTGTTGGGGACCATATTTTCTCCTGTCTTCAACTTTTTTTCACCAGCAAATAAAAATGGTAAGTATAAACTATTACCCATAATTTGGGTTTAAAAAATTAATAGTTCCCCGAGTTTTTTAAAAGATCTGTTTGATTTTACTGGCATATTTTGTCAGCATCTTATGTTTGTTTTCAGCCTCATTAAAAACACAGCTCCTGAAGAAAAAGAAAAAGAAAAAAAAAATACACAGCTCCTAAAAGTTTGTGGTTTTTGTGTTTTGTTTTTTGGGGTTTTTTTGTTTTTAGTGGCTGAAATAAATTTAGGTCATGTTTAATTCTGTTGAAGTACATGAACTCCACTTTCACTATCTGAAAAGCTAAATGATAAACTTTGGGCTGGAGGGAAAGTAATTTCTTTTATGCTGGAATGACTTCTGTAATCCTTAGTGTGTACAGGAGAGAATCCAGAAATATTTTTGGTATTCTAGATCAATAAAGTAGAATTTTTAAAATATTTTAAGTGAGCTGAAACTAGGTCATTTTTTGTAACACATTTTTATCATTTGTTTTTTAAAGATTTTATTTATTTATTTGACAGAGAGAGTGAGAGCAGGAACACAAGTAGGGGGAGTGGGAGAGGGAGAAGCAGACTCCTGCTGAGCAGGGAGCCCGATGTAGGGCTTGATCCCAGGACCCCGGGATCATGACCTGAGCCGAAGGCAGACGCTTAACGACTGAGCCACCCAGGCACCCCCATTTTTATCATTTGTAACACATTTTATTTATCATTCATCATTTATCATCAAAGACCCCCTAGGGATCTTTAATTTGGATAATTAGTAACTACTCTAATGCAAATGAATTGAAGGTTTTCATTATATAATGCCTTTGCAAAAGAATCAAACTTGGATTGTTTCCCCAAAATTTTTTTTTAAAGATTTTATTTATTTATTTGGCAGAGAGAGAGAGAGAGATAGTGAGAGCCAGAACACAAGCAGGGGGAGTGGGAGAGGGAGAAAGTAGGCTTCCTGCCGAGCAGGGAGCCTGATGTGGGACTTGATCCCAGGACCCTGGGATCATGACCTGAGCCAAAGGCAGACGCTTAATGATTGAGCCACCCAGGCGCCTCCAACATTTTTTTTTAAAGATTTTATTTGAGAGAGCGCTCGCACCCTAGGAGAGGGAGAGAAAGAGAATCCCAAGCAGACTCTGTGCTGAGTATGAAACCCAATGTGGGGCTCAACCCTATAACCCTGAGATCATGACCCAAGCCTAAACCAAGAGGTGGATGCCCAGTGGACTGAGCTACCCAGGTGTCCTGCCCAACATACATTTTTTTTAAAGATTTAGCTAGTGTTGGGGTGCCTCAGTGGCTCAGTCATTAAGCATCTGCCTTCAGCTCAGGTCATGGTTCCAGGGTCCTGGGATCGAGCCCCGCGTTGGGCTCTCTGCTCCGTGGGAAGCCTGCTTCTCCCTCTCCCACTCCCCCTGCTTGTGTTTCCTCTC